TATTTCATGTATGTGTGTGCATGGATTGCCTGCATATAGGTAAGTGCACCTGTGTCATGCAATGCCTGTGGAGGTCAGAAGAGGCTGTTGGATCCCCTGGGACTGGAGTCACGGACAGTTGTTAGCTGCCATGTGGGAGCTGGGAACCTGGGTCTTCTGCAAGAACAACCAGTGTTCTTAATCGCTGAGCCATCTCTCCAGCCCCTCTTGCTGAGTCTTAACAGCATTAACAAGGAACTTTGCCATGTGCTGTAAAAATGCATGATGCCCTGGAAATCCTAAGAGAGTAGGAACTATGGAGATGGAGATTTCTTCTCAAAGTACTTAAGAATTAACTGACAGCTTAAACTTGATGCCTCATGGTCTAGCTTGTAACCAGGCCCTAAATTCAGTCCATAGTATTGACAACAAGCAAGCATGCAAACAGATAAACTTGATCCCTTGGATTCAGATTGTTTGGGACACTCTTACACACTACTATAAACAGAACATGTTCATTAGTAGATGTGAGAGAAAAGTGAGAAAAATTATGCTAAAGTTATTAGCATATTTCAGATGAAGTTTTGTCATAGTTTCAGATTTAATTCTTACTCAAAGAGTAATGATATTAGCAATAATTTATAATATTAAAATGCCTATTCCTGATTCAAAGGGCTTTACTAACTTTAATTGTTTGAAAATTTTTAAATTTATTTTTATTTTATGTGTATGAGTGTTTTACCTGCATGTATGTAAATGCATCCATTTATGTGATCTCTGCAGAGGCCAGAAGAGGGCATTGGATTCCCTTGGAACTGTGAAGTTCAGGACATGTGTTAGTGCCACATGGGTGCAGAGAACCTAACCCAGGTCCTCTGAAAGAGCAGCTAATGTTCTTAACCACTGAGCCATCTCTCCAGCCCCTTAACTTTAATTCTTAAAATAGTCATTTACTAAAGGTATTGTTATTCACATTTTATGTATATAACATTTAAACTTAGGGAATTGGAAAAATTTGTCTGGGGTTACACAGCTATTAAGGATGGGAATATTGAAGTATGTGTGAAAAAACTTTACAAAGTGAGTTATAAATGTAATGTTTTAATTTATATCTACAACAGAATAGTAAAAGTATGCCCTTATGATTTTCTGAATTTTTAAAAATATCTGTTGTGATGTCTCCCTGTTGATCTCTAATTTTATTAATTTGGGTCTTCTCTCTTTTTCTTTTAGTTAACTAAAGGTTTGTCGATCTTTATCTTTCTAAAGAGCCAACTCATTTCATTGATTCTTGGTATTTTTTTTTTTCTATTTCATCCATTTCTACTCTAGCTTTGATTATTTCTTTCTACTTCTTTGGGTTTGGTTTATTCTTGCCTTTCCAAACTATTGGGGTGCATTGTTGTTATTTATTTGTGTTCTTTGTGTTTTTTTTCTTTTTCTTTAATTATGTATATGTGTGTGTGTGTTTCTGTGTGTGTATGTACATATGAGTACAGGTTTCTGTGGATGCCAAAAAGAGGGTGTTGGATCCCTTGGAGCTGGAGTTGCAGGCAGTTGTGAGCCAACCTGATGTGGGTCCTTTGCAAGATCAGTATGTGCTCTTAACTACTGAGCCATATCTCCAGACCCTCTTTCCTTTCCCTCCCTCCTTCCCTTCCTCCCTCCCTCCATTCATTCATTCTACTTGGTGCTTAGAGCTGTAAGTTTCCCTCTTAGGATTGCTTTCATTGTATCTCAGCTATTTTGGTATGTTGTATTTTCATTTAATTCCAAGAATTTTAAAATTTCCATCTTGATTTCATCAATGATCCATTTATCATTTAATACTGTGCTTTCTATCTCTATGAATTGTGTGTTTTCTGTAGTTTCTTTTACTATTGATTCAATATTCAATATTCAAATTTTCTTCCATTGTGATCAGTGGGAATACATATAGTTATATCAGTTTTTCTGTATTTGTTGAGATTTGCTATGTGTTCCAATAGCCTATTTTAGAGAACTTTCAGTGGGCTGCTAAAAAGAATGTGTATTCTGTAGTGTTTGAGTGAAATAGTCTGTAGCTCTTGGTTAGGTCCATTTGGTCTATGATGGCATTTAACTTTGATGTTTCTCTATTTTTGTCTGATTGACCTGTCCACTGATGAGAGTGGGGTATTGAAGTCATCTGTTACGGAGTTGGGGTTAATATGTGGCATAATGCCTACTAATGTTTGTTTCATGGAATTGAATGCATCTGAATTTGCATAAATGGTTAGGATTGTAACGTCCTCTTGGTGGGTTGCTACCTTGATCAGAGTGAAGTGACCTTTATCTCTCCTTAGTAGTTTTGGCTTGAAATCTGTTTTTTCAGATGTTAGAGTAGCAGTGCCTACTTGTTTCCTGGTTCTATTTGCTTGAAATAAATATTTCACTCTAAGTTAGTGTCAAGCCTTGAGAGTAAGATGTTTTTCTTGTGAACAACAGAAAGATGGATCCCGTTTTCTAATATAGTTGGCTAGCCTGTGTCTTTGACTGGGAGAGTGAGACTATTAATATTCAGAGTTACTATTGAAAACTGTATTAGTTATTGTCATTTTGTTGATTCTATGGTGTTTGTTTTGTTAGTCCTACTTTGTATACCTGCTACCCTAGGACCATTTTTTTCCCTGTAGTCTCTAGTTGTGTTTATCCTTTTCTTCAGACCAAAATGTTCCTTCCGGTGTTTTCTGTAGGGCACATTCAGTGGTCACAAATTCTTTTGGCCTGTTTATATCATGGAACATTTTTCTTTTTCCTTCAATCATGACAAATAATTTTGCTGGGAAAGTAGGCTGGATTGGCACCTGTGTTCCTGCAGAACTTGAAGCTTGTTTTTCCAAGATCATCTACTTTTAAAGTTCCCATTGTGAAATCAGCTATATCTCACGAGCCTGCCCTTTGTATGAAACTTGGGCCTTCTCTCTTGCAGCTTTCAATACCCTTCTTTGTTCTGTGTATTTAGTGTTTTAACTGTATGGAATACAGAGTTTTTTTTTTTTTTCTGGTCCTGTGTATTTGGTGTTCTGTGTATCTCTTGTGCCTGAATGCACATCTCTTTTCCTGGATTTGGGAAAATTTCTTCTATGATTCTGTTGAAGATATACACAGTGCCTTTGGCCTGGTATTCTTTTCCTTCATTTTTGCCATGATTGATTGATTTGGTCTGTTGGAAGTGTCCCAGTATTCCTGCATATTCTATTCATGTGTTTTTAAAATTGATCATTTTCTTTGATTGGATTATCAAATCCTCTACTTTGTCTTTAAGCGCTGACAGTTGTTTTCCACATGGTCTTCTCTGTTAGTAAAGCTTCCCACTTTTTTACTTTAAAAAATATTTTATTATTATTTTTTGGTAGCAACAAAACATTTTTATTAATCTGACTTCTTTTTTATAAACCAATTTTTTCTAACATTTATTGAATTTTTATTCTTTGAAAAAAATTAATAGTCATTAATGGACAAATATTTCTCCCTATTAGGCAAAGTAGCAGTCAACCCAAATGCTTTAATCTTTGACCCTTACACATGAAATAAGAAATTCCCTATGGCACAGACCACTCTGGACTCTGCATTTCCTCAGTGAGCCATTCGTACAGCCATCTGAGCGTGCTGCAGTTGCTCTTCTTTTTTCTCTTTTTTCTTTTTTTATTATTATTCCAAAGAGAAGCAATTTTTAACACATTTTTCCAGAAATAACTTGAAGCAGGTTACATAAAACTAGACATACAGTGGAGCTTAAGGGGGGAAAATAGGAATAAGAAATCAAAGACCAAAGGATTTGGCAACATGGGGTCAACTTTGGTGGAATAATGAAGGTTTCCAGTAGCTTGGATTTGAAAATCCTAATGAGTTTATTGGACTTGCTCTGAACATAGCATAGGGTGGGGGTTTATTTACGGAAGCGTGGGTACCCCTTCCCCCATTTGTGACTGCATTGGAAAGTCTATACTCAAATATGCGTCCTGTGACTTCCTGACCGCCGCACAAAATGGTGAAAGCTTCCAACTCACTGCATGCTTCCTTTCTAGCTTCATTTTGGTTTGCGTTTTCTTCCATATTTCTCTCTATTGAATTCAGTTTTCATACCTTGAGTTGTCCTCATTTAATTCAGCCATTTATTTGTGTTTTCTTGGACTTAATCAGTAGTTTATTCCTGTCCTCTTAAGTTCATTCAGATCTTTGTGTTCACTTTGGATTCCTTGAATTCTTTAAACATGTTTGTAATTGTTTATTGAAAATCTATGTCTTAAGTTTCATCTAAGTTGTTCTCCTTGGGAATTATTTTTGTGGGATTGGTAATCTTTCAGGGAGACATACTGTGTTAGTTTTTCATATTGCTGTGTTTTTGCTATGGGATCCAAGAATCTGTAGTTAGGTTTGTTGGTTGTATCTTTTGATAGGAGTTTTTAGCCAACCAGGCCAGTATCCCCAGGTGGGGCATAGGCCTGGGTGGTTTGGTAGGGGGGTCCTGGAGGATATGAGGGGATTGAGTCTCTTAGTAGGGCCATATGGCTAGAGAGTGAGACGTCCCAAGGCAGGGCTGTGGCCAGACAGTTTGGGAGAGTCCCAGAGAATGGAGCCTAGGGGAACTAGTCTCTTTTGGGGCAGCATGGCAACTGGAAGGACCCTGAGGCAGGGTGGTGGGCTGAGTGTCTTGGGGGTTCCAAGAAAATGGAACTTCAGGAAGT